AGAGAGAGAGAGAGAGAGAGAGAGAGAGAGAGAGAGAGAGAGAGAGAGAGAGAGAGAGAGAGAGAGAGAGAGAGAGAGCACTTGGAGGGGCCTGGAGGGAGGCTGAAATACAAGAAATACACGGAAGAAAGGGTTGTGGAGAGTGGATATCCATTCCAAACGGCAACATCAGAGTGAATGACGGATAAAAGTTCATAAAACCTCATTTATAACAAAACGAAAACCAACCAACAGCCAAAGCTCTTCTGCAGAGACGATACACAAACACCCCTCCTAATCATTAGCAGGAATGACAAGTTCCAGAACAGCTAGGAACTAGGAACTGCTGAATTCCGAGGCATGCCCCAGCGACTTAGCTTCCAGGAGCTGCAGCAATCTATATGTCCATCTATCCAACATTCCTGCCCAGTAAGAGACAAACCATTGACAGTCACAGCACAGTCCAGCAACGCAAAAAATTTAGTCAGAAATCATACATCATACATGACACATGCATAGTTTACCATTGATACCATTGACAAGTCAACAGACTTCCCTATGCAAAGCAATAACACAATAGAGACATACAGTACATGTTCCCGTACTGTACATTTACTATGTACAGTATTGACTTCCCTATGCAAAGCAATAAAGCAATAGAGAGATACAGTTCATGTTCCCGTCCCGTACATGTACAGTATTGTAGGCCTTGTTCACCCTCTGCATCATAAATTCCCACACACACACTTAACAAGCCAGACGGCCAAGAACAGAAGTGTACCGTACATAAATCGTGTAAGCCAGACATTGCGTGTTTGACAAAAGTGAGTGTGCACGCTACAGTGGCTGTCAGGAGAAAGAAAAAGTTTGCAGACTCCGCACATGCAATCACCACATTGTGTGGAGGCTGGACATATCTGATTTCAACCGCTGGTCTCTCCAAGGCCTTCCAAAGACTTTGCCCATATGCATGAAGGCCGGACTTTTGATGTACTGGCCTGATGTATCATCTGATGTGGATGGGATGCTTGACATACACGTGCAATAACCCGCTCAAATATGCCATGCTGCTGTCTAAGGGGCCACTTGCAGGCCACAACGCTGGCCCGGAACCGTGTTGACCGAGGGGAACAGAACCCCTGAAAATGGCTTCAGGGGCCCTGTGCCCGACAGTTGACTAAAGTCAACTGTACAGCGGCCCACGAGCCAAAGTCTGTATGGACCCAGCCCAGGCCGCCGATCAGACACACACACTTGTTTGTACGCAGGCCCTGGGTCGTTTCAGCCTGAAAACCTGAAAACAAGGGCCTACAGGCCCTGTGTCGTTTCAGCCTAAAACAGGGCCCTCCAGGCCCTGAGTCTTTTCAGCCTGAAACGGAGGGCCATTTTCAGGCCCTCATAAGATCGACCTGCCCTGAAACTTAGGCACCAGACCAGGGTTTTAGCACAGGCCATTTTGGGCCTGTTTTCAAGACAACCTTTGTTTGAACTTCAACGCCAGGGTCTGGCACGTTTTGGCATTGGCAAGAGCAGCCTCCTGGACGGGCCAGCACTATATAAGACTGGCCCGCCCTGCAGGCTGCAGGTAGTTCATAGGGACTTCCCAGACACTTCACGTGCAGTTCAGGAGGCAGGACGTAGTCTTCAGGATTCGGCAGCAGCACTCTGGAGGAGCGCTGCAGTAGTAGTAGTAGCGTTAGCAGTAGCCTTCAGGGCTGCGCGCTATTAGGAGCTAGAGTAGCACTGGAGAGAGAGAGAGATTGGGCGGAGGCCAGGGAGACTTACCTGCAGCGCCATAGCTCCAGCTCGTCGTCGAGGTACCTGCAGCACAGCGCCATCTTCACAGGTTAGTACCTGGCACATGAGAGAGAGAGAGAGAGAGAGAGAGAGAGAGAGAGAGAGAGAGAGAGAG